CCTTCTTCACCATAGGAATGGCTGATGATGTTACCAACGGAATAATAGCAGGAACATTTCATCCCCTATCAACTTAGGGGCTATACAGAATTAGAGTTTGTTTGTTTGTTTTAACAAGATGAAACCAGGGAAAAGATGCTGGGTATGTGACATAAGATGCCTGCTACAAATAAATATGACAGGAAAACATAAAAGATGAACTAGAATTTTTTTCTCTTTCTGTCTCTACAAAAAAATGTCCACTCAGTAGTGCAAGTCCAATGTAAGATTGTGTGTGTGGTGGAGGGGGGTTGTGGATCAAGGCCTTCATGAAGGATGGAAGAATAACCCAGTATATTAGCAATAGGGATGGCAGCAGTTAAGGAGGACAACTTGGTACATTACAAATTAGATTTAAATACAGAGGGAATTGGCAGTGGAGACATTTTCTGTAGAAGATGATGGGCAGTGGAGGACAACAAAGAAAATAAATAAAACTTAGATGATTAAGAAAATTCAATACTAAGAATATAAATGAGGACTGAGCCCTTTAGTTACACATTTTCATTAATTCCTAATGATAGATCACTGACCACACAGAACCAAACATGTGAGCACATTTTATAATGTGTCATCTTTGTGCCTAAAACTAGATTCTCCTACCAATTGATTATAACACTAGAACAAAGGCTGGCTCAGTTTTAGATGAACCATTCTTACACAAATATTTTCCATTCATATAATCTCAAAAAATACACACTGTGTCACCTATTAGTTCCAGATTATGTGTATCATTTCCCCAGTTCTCTGGTAACAGATTACTCTTTCTCTTTGGTTCTGGTGGTGCTTATGCCTGGCGTCTGACCCTCCTCAGCCGGTCTATGGCAGCGGCCCTAGTTCACTGATACAGGAATCAACACTTGACTCAGGAAGAATTAAAGCCTTGCTTTAGATTTGGTCAAGAGACTTAAGGTTAGAGTATTCAATATTATGCAATATTTGTAAAACAAAAGTATTAGTAAATCTAATAGCCATCCTTTATGTTCTGGGCGCTGCATACTGTGACTAGGAGTGCAGCAAATTACCTGCCATTGTTTCTGCCCTGCCATGTTATAGTTTAGTCGCTGTTGAATGAAGGCAGTGGAGAATGGCAACACCAGTTCTGACTCATTGAACACATGAGTTATTCTTACAGATGAAACACTATCCTAAACATTGTCCGAGGAAAGATAAATAATATGCAGCCCTTACCCTCAAGGATCTTACAACCTGGCAGGGGAAATAAGACATGCACACAGATGACTGCAGTGCAAAGAAGATAACAATTGCTGCCAGATGTTTGGGGAGAATGAGCAGAAGGAGAGAATGCAGAATAAGGCAACATTCAAGAGTCAGCCAAGATATAGTTATTGAGCAATCACAAGATATGAAATAAAAATGATAGAGATGAACATGGATCCAGACAGCAGCAGGTAAAAAAACCAAGTGACTTTACTTGCTACCCAGTTCTCTAATTTTTGTCACCAAATTCCTAATAAGTACAGTAAATTTGAAACTTAACAGGGATATAGTCTCTGTTGAATACAGCCTCAAGTAGCGATGCCTAAAAATTAGGCTCATAGTACTTGTGTTTCCAAATATTCCTTTCTGCTGCTTTGTTTGCTTCTTTTTCTTTCCAAATTAGCCGATGCTACTTTAAGCAGTTATCTATTTCAGCTGTCACACTCTTTTGAGCTGGTGCATTGGAACAGGTGACTTAAAAGAGGATCAGTTTGTCTTCAAACAAGAGTAAGAAAATACTGTATGGTTGAAAAAAAAACAAACCTCAGAGGCAATCTTTCAGGCAAGGCTGAATCCAGGAGTTCACATCTTTTAATTAGGTCTCTACTTATCTCTACCCTCATTCCTCTTTCTCTCTTCCTTTTCCCTCTCTTTATATCTCTTATTATGGGATTCAAATGTCTCTCTGTTGATGTGGAAGGTCCTGGCACAGCTACAGGCTAATTATCCCCACAGCTCCAGGACTGGCAGGAAGCAGCGGGGCCATCATCCCCGTAAGGCTGTGCAAGGTGTGCACTCATGTGGCAGGACATCACATCTAAAAGTGGTTGATAATCACATTGTATGCACAGGTGGATTAGTGTGTCAGATACAGCACTGCTCTCTCTCTCTTTCTCTCTTGCAGATGGCAGTACAATGTTGTTAGAACATTTTCCAAAAAATGTAAAGTGTTTTAAGGATAGGGGGACTTCATTTTTCCCCTAAATGATGCACAGATTATCTGTTGGATAGGGGTAATTCTGTGTTAATTCCCTAGGTACCTCAACAAAGTCCAGGAATGAGTCCTGGGTGGTTCTCCTTGAGTTCCATTCTCATCCTTTATCTCGTACTCATTATAGCTAGCAGAATCCTATTTTCTGACTAGCCAAAGCTGGATTATGGGGAATGGTGAATATTTTTCTCAAACCTTAAGTATTGAAACCTGGAGAAAGGGCATATCCAAAAGGAAACCGATGGACTAGACTGTTTTTAGAAGAAAAAGGAATAGATGGTAGACAAGAAAAAAAGTCCTCTATACCAGGATATGTTTTAAATATTCTTTGGCTGTCCAAAAACTAGTCTCCTACATATAAAGCAGCAGAGTATATTGGCCTGAAAAAAGGCACCATGGCCAAAACATGGTCTATGAGGGGTACTAAAAAAAACCCCAGAATTACCATCTGGAGAATGGGCTCCTTGTAGTACAGGCTCCCCTGACTAGGTGAGTATTCTAGGAAACCATCTGTACCAGTGTACCAATTGGCATTGTTGTGAGAGTCAGTGTTTGGCTTTGGTGAATTTGTCTGAAGACTCAAGGCTTTTGCCCATTTCATGATGGGTGATTTACAAGCACACCTGCCCACACTGCACTGACACTGCAGCAGTTTTTGGCTAAAAACAGTATGACCCCCTTTCTCCGCTTTCCATATTCACCAGATCTCACCCTGAGTGACTTTTTGTTTGTTTGTTTCTGTGAATTAAAAAAGTCCTCAAAGGGAAACATTTTGCTGATGTGGAAGGGGAAAAACAAAAAATAGCAGAACCACCAAAAGGCATCAAAATTGACAAGTTCAAAAACTGTTTTGAGTAGTGGAAAAAAATCTTGATAGGTGTATCACATCAAGTGGAGAGTATTTAGAAGGTGATTAAAGTTTAAACATGTAAAAATAAATATATATTTTTATAAGTAAATTCCAGATTTTTTGCTCCTCCCTTATATTTTAACAGAGGGTTTGGGAGTTAGAAGGTAACTGTAAGAGGATCCGATTCAATCTCACCACTTTAAAGACAGGGAAACTAAAACCCAGGCAGGGGAACAAAAGTGCCAAAAGGTACACAGGTAGTTGGCAGCAAAGACAACCAGCTATCTGTCTACTGACTTTTTGGGTTGTGTGTGTGTGTGTAGAAGGTCATCTGTATTTAGTATATTAACAACAAAAACAGCAACAACAAAAAAGTGTAGTCTTGTTTCTGGTTTTCTCCCACCCCCAAACCTCTGCAGTGCAGTTAGTTTTGCTGCACTCCAACAGAAAGCCTCATGAAGAGCTGAGTTAACCTTCCTAATTTCACTCTGGTCCCCAAGGACAGAGACATTACCTTTCTTTATATAGGAACTAGGGCCACTTGTTGCTTTAATGGGCCAAGTTTGGAATGGTGCACTGAACAGGGACATCTTTGAAAAACAGCTTCTAAATTGCAATGCAACCTGCTCTGGCATCCTGATTTTGCCCCCACGGCTCCAGCCAGAGAAAGAGAGAAAGGCACACAGAATCACTGAGATTTCTGTCTGCTTCTCTTTCTTCCTCCTACTAGCACCTCTTTTCTGCTGTTTCCTGCCCTGGAAAACCTGTCACCGGCCCAGAAGCATCTCTGGAAATGGGTAGGAGGGAGCCTTACACCTGTCAGCACCAGAGAAGAAAGTGAGCTCTGTAGAGTTTTTGGTCGCTCCATCTCTTGAGACGAAATGAAGGATAGGGGCAAGTGTGAGGCTTCCACCACAGATTTAGTAGCGACTTCGGTTAGTTCATCTGGCTCTGGTCCCTGTAAACCCTGAGGACCAAGAATATAGTAGTTCCATTCCTAACGTTTCTTGTCGGCGTGTTTTCCTACAGGCCGTCCAGTTCCTTGGCCTGAGTAAAGGTTCTGTAAGTCATGAATCAGGGTCCTGTGGGTAGGTTCGTTTTTTTCTTGAGAGAAACTGGCAGAGACGGATCAGCAGTAGAGAGGGTCTTCCCTTGATCTCCATCACTGGTTTCTCCACCTTGCGACACCCTGGCGTTCTCCCGGAGCTGACAGCCGGGGCTTCGGACCTCAGGGTTGGGAGCTGTCAGCACCAGACATCCCGGCCCCATCTCAGGGCTGACGCCACTCGTGTGTGTGTGTGGGCGCAGGCGGGTGATCAAGAGGAGTCTACAGAGAGATGGGGGCAAGAGCTCATCCCTCGCAGGCGACCAGCAATCCTTAGATTCCCTGGGGACCTAGAAACTCCCAATCGCCGGCACTCCTCCACAACCCCCCCCCCCCACCGCCACCCACGCCCCCCTTACTCAGCACGCAGCCCCTCCCTGCGTGATGATGCAAACCAGTGGGGAGGGCGGGCGCTGGGAAGGGTGGGGAGAGACTGAGAACTAGCGAGGGAGGGAGAGAGTGGGAGGAGGAGGAGAGGGAGCCGAACGACCATTTAAAGCGATAGCAATCCGTGCCCTCTCCCCAGTGCTGGGCTGTTGAAGAGCGCGAGCAGCTAGTCGGAGAGCGCCAGCGCGGAGCGCCGGCCGGCGAACCCAGAGCGCACGGCGCCCCAAGCTGGCTGGCGCCGCGGGACCCCCTACACTCTCCCGCCTCCTCTCCCTCACCCTCAGTGCGGGCAGGAACTCCTGGGCTTCCCCGCAGAAGCTTACCCCGAGGGGCCTGGACCCCGGTGATCCCACCACGGTCCCTTCCGGCGCCGCCGCCGCCAACGCCACCGCAGCAGCCGGAGCAGCATGGTCCAGCTGGGGAAGCTGCTCCGCGTCCTGACTTTGATGAAGTTCCCCTGCTGCGTGCTGGAGGTGCTCCTGTGCGCGCTGGCGGCGGCGGCGCGCGGCCAGGAGATGTACGCCCCGCACTCCATCCGGATCGAGGGGGACGTCACCCTCGGGGGGCTGTTCCCAGTGCATGCCAAGGGTCCCAGCGGAGTCCCTTGCGGCGACATCAAGAGGGAGAACGGTATCCACAGGCTGGAAGCAATGCTCTACGCCCTGGACCAGATCAACAGCGATCCCAACCTGCTGCCCAACGTTACGCTGGGCGCGCGGATCCTGGACACTTGTTCCAGGGACACTTACGCGCTCGAACAGTCGCTCACTTTTGTCCAGGCGCTGATTCAGAAGGATACGTCCGATGTGCGCTGCACCAACGGCGAGCCTCCGGTTTTTGTCAAGCCGGAGAAAGTAGTCGGAGTGATTGGGGCTTCAGGGAGTTCGGTCTCCATCATGGTAGCCAACATCCTGAGGCTTTTCCAGGTAGGGGGGGCGCTTCCTCAGGGGTAAAGTGCTCCTTACTTCCCGCGCTCTGTATTCTAAAAAGCTGGTTTTGACTCCAGGGGTGCAGGGTCAGGTCAGCCTTCACGCATTTCCACCCAGGAGATCCCGACGAATCCCGTCCACCCCACCCAAGGAGGTACCTTCCCTGCTTGGTTCTTTTCCCTTCCATCTCTCCCCTGTCCGCGCTTCACTCCACCCGGCTTGACATCCTGGATTTATGGCCCCATTTACAAGAAGCAATCTGCGAAAAACAAGGCGATGATTTAAATGGGTTTGCATTAGAGTGAAATATGGTCCAAAAACAGGCTTGTAAAAGTGCCGGAATCCCGTGAGAGCCGGCCAGGCGCATGGACTATGAAAAATAAGAAGCCTCGAACCTGGGCATTTCTCAACTCCCCAGCTTCCCAGTCCCAAGTCGCCTGGCAAGCCGCAGCTCCCCTGGAAAATTTGGAGAAGAGTTTAGGGAGGCAGTACTTAAACCGAGGGCTAGGTCTTCATCTATATGTGGATGCTAATTGCCCACCTCTCTTGGGTTGGATTTCCCCCGACCTGTAGCCTGTCTCCACGAGGGCGTGGGGACGCTCCCCAAGTGGGGAGATGCCACCTGCAGACGTGACCCCCCCCCCGCCGTGATTCGCTGTGAGCAAATGTTTGCATGGTCTAAATGACATTTGCAGTCCCAGCTACTGGCAGGAGCTGGGCGATGAGCTTTCTAGTCCTGCCACTTCAGAGCCAGAGATGAGCTCATGCGAACTGCGAAACAAAATCGCTTTCTTTGCCTCCTCCCTCCGCCCGTCCTTTCCCAAGACCTCCCTTTGCACCCCCCCAACCCTAATTCTCTTCTTCTGGGATCCCGGAGCCGGACGGGGAGGCTCCTGGAGAAAGGCAGTGAATGGGGTGCGCAGAGCAAGGCCGGGTGTCCCCGGGCTCTGGGTGCCCAAGGGCCACCGCGAAATTGGAAGAAGGCGGATGGGGCAGCTGAGCGGTGGGTTCTACCGCAGTGCTCCCCAGCCGGCAGCTCCTGCAGACTCTGCCCCGTGGCTCCTGTGCCGCCTTGGGTATAAATGGATGGCTTTAGGGGTTAAGAAATTGAGTTTCAGGGTCTGGGTGATTGTGGTTTCCCTTCTCCATGTTCCTCTTTATGTACCCTTCTCTTCTCTTTCTCCCTGCTTTGTTTTTTTCTCTATCTTCCCTCCCGTTCAACATCTGCTTCTCTTCTCCTTCTCAACCCCCACCTACAAGTTTTGTGTTCATCTGTGTGTTGAGATGATCCCTTCCTAATGCACAGCTCTCTCCCTGCTTGGTAGTACCCAAACCCAATTAATCCCTCTTCCCCAGATGTTCTGGCTGACTCTGGCTGACTCTGGTGCCCTTATCCTCCCCTAGTGAAGAACTGCCTCTCTCTCAAGTGCTTTCCCTGAGGGTGTCGGGTTTCTGGAGGGGACTCATCTTGAGAGTCAAGCTGTCACCATGTCAGCTCCCAGGAGAGTGAAGTTTGTTTTTGCGCCAAAGGGAGGGGTGCCTTTCATGGCTGCAGCCTGGTATGGCCTCTGGACACCTGAGCCCCCCTAACACCTCCTGAGTGTGCCATTTTGGAGATCACTAGATGTGTGCAAACCCAAAAGTGCTTTGGACCTAGTCAGCCTTCACTCTGACTTGACACTTTCAGGAAGAGCTTGAGTTGTTGAAAGCAAAACCCAGAAGTGCTTCCGTTAATCCCTGAACTTAAAGCTAGACAACTTGAGGGGGCAGTGCTGAGGGTGAGGATGAGGTCAGAAATCACCTGAGAGCCCCTGGGGCAAATCACATGTTTTTTCAGAACCCTGGGGGTTGAAGGTATGTTTGGTGTTTAGCATTTTTAGATTATTTTGCTGTCTGTTTCTGGCTTTGCTCAGAGCATGGCAGTACTGCAGATGGGTCTGTCAGAAAAAAAGAGTGAAATGTTAAAGTCAAGAGAGAGATTGCAGACGAGGTTGAAGGACTGTGCTGAAAAAGAGTCCAGGGGGAGCTGATTCCTCTTCTGGTGTGTGAATCTGAGACACTTGTGAGGAAAGAAAGAGCTTGCCTTACGCTTAGTTCCCAATTCCCAGGGCTGGGAAGGAAAGGAACCGAATGTTAGCGTTAGCAGTGTGGGTTGGGAGCAAAGCCATTCAGAGAAAACTGTCATTTTCCTCTAATTTGCAAATTGCAGATATTCATGTTGGATTGAACAGCTGAGGAGAAAAGAAGCCTCCAGTTTCCACCTGCATTTATTGAGAAGAGGCTGGTGGTGGGAGGAATGCACCAACTGTAGACCATGCTGCAAGCTGGATATAACCAGTGGTGTGGGCATCGGTTAATGATTGCCCACATTGGAATATATAGCAGCCTTGTATGCATGTGATCTTAGAGGCTCCTGGCATGCACTCAAACCCCCAGGTTCCCAGACTGTGTAAAGCTTCCAAATGAATAGGGAGAATAGAGGCATAGAGACCCATTGTTTAAAGACACAGTCAATTTAGGGAGAGGAGAACAGTAGGTGAATCTTCTCTTGGGATGCTAGGTTCAGCTCAATTAAGATTGTCCTACAAAAAAGAAACTCCTCTAAATGATTGAATTCCTAGCTCTCCAAAGTTTCAAGTTCTCTTTTCCCCAGTCCCTATGGGTTGCTGTGGGGACAATACCAAACCTATAATTTGAGACAAAAATGTATGGTGAGATAAACTGCTAGGCTTGAGGAAGGAATGACTTAGTGACTTAAATGGGGGCTGCTAAGCCCTTGGGGGGCAGGAGGGAGTAATGAGATAATAATAGATATAACCAATGCTGCTGCTGTCAGCGAAGCCTGGAATGAAGTTCATTGCTGACATTTAGGACCTAGGCAAGAATGTCCACTCACATGTAAATAGTGTCTATGACTTCAAATTCTCACTTGCCTGCTGGTGTTCCAAACCAAAGATATAAGCTAGGCAAGTCCTTTCTCTCTCTCTCTCTCTCTCTCTCTCTCTCTCTCTCTCTCTCTCTCTCTCTCTCTCTCTCTCTCCTCTTTCTGCACACTGAATTGGTTAGTAAGTGACATGTCAAAGGACAGGAATCATATTCAGTGAGTCTTTCAAATCCAGGAATTTGAGGCCTAATGAAATTAGTGTGTGGCCAGGATTCTGCCAACTGTAATTCAGTCCTATACCTGCTGCCCTGCTCCATTTTCAGCCTCAAAGAACCATCGGGGAGGAATTGCTGGAGCATTGTTTCCGAACCTATATAAAAAACACTCTCTAATGCTAAGAAAGATTAAGTGTAGATTAATATCAACTGTAAGAAATATATTTAAAAAATAATTACACAGTGGGGATGGCTAAATGCGAAGAGCTTATATAATATTGTAACCAGAGGCTAAATCCCCTGACCACTGTTTTATGGGCTAAAAGTAAGATATATTATAGTAGAAAGTAATGGGAATGTTTTTATTCAAGCTTCTCTGTTTTTGACTCGAGAGCAAATGCTACATCCTGACTCTGAATGAACAATATTTCAGTGTAGTGTCATAGTCTGAGCTGTAGACTTGGAATTGAGTGGCATCTGCTTCTGTCTTGTTCCATCAAACGCAACTAGATGGAAAAACTGGTCCACTTGACCTTTGTTGGAGCATATCACAAATTTAAACCCATGGACCTTACACCATAAATGAAATACATTTGTAAATTTGTAAATGTTTTCTTTCTGTCCATTGAAGCTTGAATACTATCTCAAGCTTTGGGGACATTTTATATATAAGTGTCTAGTGTTCTTTCTTTTTCTTATCTATCTATCTATCTATCTATCTATCTAGTTATCTATCTCCCTATCTATCTTATGTAATTGGATAGAACTGGGCACCTGGTATGGTATGGTATTACTATTGTGTGTTTTCTTTTAAAGCAACTCTAACCTACTCTTTTTAAAATTTCATAAATATAGATGTCGGTGCCATTTAGAATAATCTCTATAACAATCTCTGCCTCCACATTTACTGTGTTTCAGGAAATTTACCTAACAGATGGCGAGTGGGCAATTTTTAAAGGGACATTTTTAAAAAGCAGAGAGGGAAGGATAAGATATAAGCACATACTATATTTGAAGATACCCCCATGTGTATTTTATCTGTACATACTCATATAATCAGGATGTCTTGGGCATTTTTTCTTTAACAATCATTGAAATAGTGGATGTCTCTAATTCAACTTTGAAAATATTTAGAGTTTAACAAATCACAAGTGCTCTATTTTTTACATACATAGGTTTAGTCATGGATTTAAAAGACTGTAGCCAGATTACACAAAGTATACTCTAGTCTCAATCCTGCACATTAATTAACTTTGTTACCCTAATAAAGTCACTTAATTTTTATAGGCCTTATTTTTCTCATCTGATTTTTTTTCTTTAAAAAAATGTAGTATCTTAGGAGTCTCCGATATCTTTGTGTAGCAGTTTAGGTTGGATAAAACCTGCTCTTGTCAAATCCTATAATGTTGTATTTCCATCTCCCACCTTGAACATTTGAGTGAGTTTGAGGGACCATTTTAAGAATATATTTTCACAGAACCATCTTAGTGACTGCTTTCCCATATTTAGACTTTTTCCTTATTTGTTTGTCAGTGTGCTCCTCAGTGATACATACTAAGGCTAGTGATGAGGAAAATGACTGCCTAGGTCACCTGACTGCATGGTTATGACATGGGGCAGGGAGTGAGAATGACGGAGTAGCAGATATAGCTTACATTATTTCGTGTCCTATACCCTTTTATCCTGCAAAACAACAGGCTTTTCTTTTGGAAAACACAGGGCCTCCTCCGTGGCCCCAGGTATGATTGGTTCAACTCTAGGCATCTGGCCTTGGCTTGGCCTGTCAGAATCCTCCCCACAAACTTTTCTGTCAAAGAGAAATGGAGAAATTGTCACTTCTTTCTGGAATTTCTAAGCTGTGGAAATGTAACTTCAGAACTTCCTGTGGTCATCCAACA